GCAGCAACTTCATTCCAGCAGTCCAACAAACTGGGCTCAAGTCACCTGTCCCAACATTATGACTAACTAGATAAGTAAAAGATTGGAGAGCAAAGTCAATCAGTGTACTGAGGAGAGAAACGATAAAGGGTCCAATGACCCCAAGTTAGTCTTCCATTATAATTAGGACTACACAGCATACAAATTCTCCAGCCATGTTGCATTGGAGAAGTCACTTAGACTCTCCACTTGGTTTGGGGGGGGAGGAGAGTTAATTATAAATAAAGATTACTGTCACATTACTGAATTGATATTAGGATGAATTCAGACAGTTTATAGGAAGGATTAGCACCTCCTCTTATTCAGCAAGTATTTCTCTTTTTAACATTTACTTGCTATTTTAATTTCTGGGTGCATGTGTGTAGTTGGCCTCAGAGGTCAGAAGAGAGACCAGATCCCTTGGAGCTGGGGCTGCAGGTGGCTGTGAGTCAGCTGACATGGGTGCTGGGACCCAAACTTAGGTCCAGAGCAGCAGGAAGTCTCAACCGATGCATCGTTTTTCTAGCACTAGCAAGTATTTCTTAATCACTTTTATGTGCCAGGTAACATTCTATATTATAAAAAATATACTAGGAGGGGGAGGGAGGAAGGGATGAAGGGAGGAAGGGGGAGCACGCTACCCTCACAAAACTGATACCATGGACAGTGATTCCAGAGAGGAAGGTGGCCTGGGGTCTCAGGACATCTGGGCTTTGGGTCTGTATAAAGGGATCTCCAGCTGAGCCCCACATGAACCAGACCCTGGAAAAAATTGTTGTTGGGACAGTCCTGGTCTCTGGCCTAGGGAAAGAATTAGGAAGATTGCTGTGTCCAGTGTCCTGAATGGGGGGTGGGGTGGGGGGAATCTCCTGCTAGAAATGAAAGGAGTTTAGCAGTTCCTCAGGGAGTAGAATGACCTCATGACCTAGCTGTGCCATTCCAAGATGATACTCGGGAAAAACTGACAGCAGGGCTCAGGCAGTCCTGCTGTGCGTGTTCACAACAGCCCAAGACGGAGACAGCCCAAGACGGAGACAGCCCAAGACGGAGAC